TTCGAAAAACAATCTTCTTTCTGATGTAATAATGACTATGTAAACCAATTGCATTTCTTCTCCAAAATTTTAAAAGTACATACAAAAATCCTGAAAAGGTTTTCTAAACAGGAAACAAGAGCGGAGCGTTGTCAGATCCGTGTAAATGATGCATGGACTCATTATCTGAATTTCAACATTTCAATTTTAAAATTCATACTGTTACAATCAATAAAAAAATACGATATCGAAATTTAAGATATCCCTGATGAAAACAGTTTGATGTTTGAACATAAATCATATGAATAAGTCAATATATTTGCTAGTAATATCAGAGTGGCTTATTAATGATATATAAAAGGAACAAATGTGCATGCAATTTTGAGATTAAGGTTTTAAATGACTTCATCATCAACGCAATAGTAATAGTGTTTGTATTAACATATGTGGCTCGAAGTCAAATAAAAAGTAACAGTAGTATATCGAATTTCAGTAAACAAATAAAGCGGGAAAAAAACAGAAAGAATCAAATGAAGTACAGATGGAACGAAATCGCTTGAGAAAAGGTAGACATCTGCTTCTATGCATGCTTCATCTGCGATTGGTATCCAGACTCTGTAAAAATGTTTGAAATAGTGAATACGACACAGCCGGTAAATCAAACGATCTGTTATCATAAGATCTACAACATTCGAAAACATGTTTACTGTTATAGTGATCGAGAACATCCACAGGTTGATCATCAAGGCACAATAGATCATTATCGATTGACGTTATTTGAGCAAAAGTTGTTCACCTGCTTTTTTGCCGTTTTATGTGTTAGACCACCAATTTACCCACTCGAAGTTGAAATGTTTGGCATTGAGCGTTCCTGATGAAGGTAAATCCAGAAAAGCGCTTCGGACGCATGAAATTATTAAACGTGTTGTTTTCAACTTTTTTACATCACTGGGTCGATACCTCTGCTGGTGGACTATCAGTCCCCGAGGGTATCATCAGCTCAGTAGTCAGTCCTTCGGTACTGACATGATTTATAACAAACTTTTCTAAAATTGTCCGTTTATAAATTTTGAAATTATAAAGAAACTATGGGTTCAACTCCCTCAAGCAAAGTTGACCTTAGATGAATTTGGCTATTTGTTTTAGGTATTTTTGTCATATAGCTCTTCAACAGTTTCGGTACTTATACATCCCTCGGATTTCAAATGCTTGGCATTGAGCGTTCCTGATGAAGGTAAATCCAGAAAAGCGCTTTGGACGCATGAAATTATTAAACGTGTTGTTTTCAATTTTTTGAACATACGTAATAGAAGCCCTTTTATGACAAAAATAATAGTGCTTTTGATGTCTTTGTTTACTTAAACTAACCAACAAATTTGCAGAAATGAAACGTTTGGTGATCATTTTGTGCTAGAATTTAGTACTCCATGATTTTGCATTAAAATAACTGTTTAAGATTTCCAGAAACTAGGGGTTATTTTTTAGTAGCAGTTGACTTTCGAATGGTCGTGTTGCACTTAAAGATTTCAAACATTCGTTAAAAGTTGGCATATAGAAAGGAATTATATGTACAATTCAGGATATACCTGGTTTCTATGAAGTTAAACTTAAGGTAAAATGTTTAGAAAGCTGTGAACATTGAACAATTTGGTTGATTATATAGGTGTTTTGAATTGGCGACACTTGTAGCAAGTCAACGAACAAATGCCACAAATTCCTTCATAAATGAGCTAAATCAACTTGTCATCGGTATACTGCCCGTTGAACTATAGAACATGCTGTTTTCTGAATAATTTTTATTTCTTAATTTTTAATTTTTAAAATCTCGCACTACGATTTAATAAGGATCTTTTTTATTTGACTATCATGTCCCAGACGTTTCAGTTTGGGTAGTCAAATACGAAAATCAGCCAGTTACACTTCCAGCATAGCGGCAAAGGAAAAAAACTCAAAATCAAATAACGACAAAAATATGTTTAACGGTAATATAGTCTCGACAATCTCTTACTAATATGCCTATTTTGCAGCATGTTCTTATTATTTTTGAAGAGTATTTTAGAATGAGAATATAATATTTTAAAGATTGATTAATTGTTTCAAGAAAAAAAAATTTATTGGTTAAGAAAAAAAAATAGGAAGCGAAATTAGATGATGAAAAGCAAACGAGATGATATATTCACATTCTTAATAAAGGTACATGTAATCTAATATCGGAATCTAACCATTATGTCTAGTTTATTTAAGTTAAACATCAATTATTCAAATGATATTTTCTTTTAAAGTAAGGAATGCAATGATCAATAAACTTTCGACGCAACGTTTTTTAAATTATAGAATTATGTACTTTACACTTCAAGAATTTCAAAACAAAAATTCTAACGCATCCGATTCATCACCTCAAATTTATTAATCTTAAATTTGCTATATATATGAGCCAGTTTTATGGAATAGAAGCAGAAAGGGCATTCAACTAAACAAAATAAAGGAAAAATCTTCAAAAAAATTAGATCTAATTGTTCTCCGAACTCGCAAAACTTAAAATTCATCACTCATACAACGGAATTTAATTTCACCCCTTTCAAACTAGTGTCTTGTTGCAAATTCAGTTCCACGATATATTTAAGCTATGTTGTTGAGATACGATATTCATTTAAAGAAAGGCAAAAAATACCAGAGAGACAGTCAAACTCATTAATCGAAAACTGACCATGCCATGATAAAAAACCGAAAAAAACGATCAAAAGACAAATAATAGAATACAAAACGCATCAGCTGGTAAGCATTCATTTTAATATCAACGCCTAGAGGTCAAAAATAACAATAGAATAATATTGATTGAAAGTAAGATTTCCGTTTATTCTTATAGAACTTGAAAACATACGGATATGGGAGAAACCTTTTTTTTTACTTTACTAGAATAAGACGGAAAATTGCCCGCCTTTCAATGCGAGAGTTTTCCTGTCTTAAAATATGTAAAAAAAAAACAAACAAAAGGGCATATAGACAAAGCACATCAGCAAAAATGACAGACAAGAAAACAAAAAAATGACCATAGCGCAATTACACAATGGCTGGATGTACAAATACCAAGCACGTCAAAAGGATATTCCCAAACATGTACTAAACAATAAAGGTTAATAATTAACAAAGACAAATAAAAAAACACTATAACATTAAAATTAAGATGAAAAACAACGCCAGTACCCAAAACCTATATTTAAAGACCATCATGTATAATTGGTACAGTTGATCCGGAATATTTATCAATAAGGTCTTGGTATCTTGTTCCGATGAACTTTTTTAGAAAAAAAGACGAGACGTTCTTTGATATAACCCTGGTTCATCAACTTTCCGCTCAGACTCTGGAGACGTTTTATTAAGTCTGAGTAGCAGCTGCAAGCTCTTGAATACCGAATGAGTTGGCAAATGTATATCCCATAAACAGGTAAAGTTGGTATATTGCTATTAAGGTGGGGAAAATTTATAATTTCAAAATCAAAATCGTCTCGTTTGTCATTGATTTTTTAATACATTTGAAAATAATTAGGAGTATATTTTGTTCCACTCTTTGTCTGAACTTTTTTTAAACAATGTTTCAAGCGTTTAAACTTTGATTCATGTAACTGTTAAAAGCATTTTACTTGTAAAATGATTTGTGACTTGTATCATAAAAATCTTTTCATTCTGCGTATACGTGTTGTCTGCACTGATACCGGAATCTGGAATCTCTGATGAGCCAGTACTGTTGGGTAATACCATTTACCAAGTGGCTAGTGCTGCGGATCTAGAATTAAGATAGTGCCTCATGTGAAACACGATCTGCTTATCCATCTGAAGCACCTGAGATCGCCCTCGGTTTAGTGGGGTACGTGTTGGTCTGTCTTTCTAGTTTCTCTATGTTTTGTTTTGTAAACTGTTATTTGTCTTATAATCGTTTTTCTTTTCTTACCATGACATTGTCGGTTTGATTTGTTCCTTTGGTATCGTTCGCCTCTCCTCTAATGATACATTGTGGATCCTCCGTTTAAAAACTATGTAACGGTTCTATAAATAGTTTAGTATACATAAATTAGTTTGGTCTACATGAGTGTCGTGCTCAATATGTTGCCTGGACACTTTTGGTGATAAGAGTACCAGAAAATGTTTTTCCAAAAACAGGTATATAGCAAACTGCATTAGGTGTCATATGTTTATTTCAGTACAAATATTCAAATATGGTCATGTAGAAGTGATAAAACTCATTAACCTATTATGTAGTGTAATCGTTTGTTAATTGTTGGTGCCAAAACGTTTTCAATATAGAAATAAGAAGATGTGGTATGATTGTCATTGGGACAACTTTCCACCAGAGACTAAATGACATAAAAGTTAGAAAGTCTAGGTCAACGAATGGCCTTTAACAGTGAGCAAAGATCTACTGCATAGCAATCTGAAAAAAGGACCCGACATGAAAAATGTAAGACAATGCAAACAGGAAAAACTAACGGCCTGATATATTTGACAACCAATAAACGAAAAACAAATATGATATACATAAAAAAACGACAACTTCTGAATTATAGGCTTCTGACTGACATGTATGACATGCACATACAGTTCAGTTTGTGTATACTGAGTCTTAATTTGAATGTCGATAATGCGTGCATAGAAAGAGACGTTTACCCGGTCGCCACCGTGATTCGATCCTTTTGAAGTTTATATAATTTCCTCAATTGTTTTTAAATTTAAAATGGATTTACTGAAGTAAAAAAATCGGTAAAGTAATATTGCCTACATTGAATTTACGTGCCATGTAATGTTTGCACTTGTTTTATTTATTATCTCATTGATATTTTCAAAAAATAATAAGTCTTGTTTGTTATTTGTTCAATTTGTTGTCGTGTCCAATAATTGTACTTATTTCAAATGCAATGTATTATTAATCACTCATTGTGTGTAAATGATAAGTTTTTTTTCTCGCAAAACAAGTATTTCATATACTAGTAAGATTAATTGCCACTTTTAAGAATGAAGAAACCAAGTAAGTATTCAACATTATTTTATTTTTCTTAACATATAACAAATAAATGTATTAATAATCAAGACTACCCACATCTCTTGAACATGTTCAAGTCTTCCAATGCTAATTTTACCCATAAAATTGAAATTGGACTAGGTTCTTAGATGCCACAAGATTAGTTTAGCTACCTAACATTTTCATACTAGTTGAACCGTTGTCACAGAAAACTGAAAATGCACTTGAATGATGTACTAATATTTGTAAAAATTACTGCCTTGAATAACATGGGCCATGTATTTCTTTTAACAAAAAATATCTTATGCAACATTGTTTGTAAACAAGCAATAATTTTAACATCTATAATATTTATCGAAACTGTGTTATATTTTATCACTCTTGTTTAATTTGGCTACACGGCCTTTGTGTCGTTGCTCCTTTTACCTTTGCTGCAGTCATATTTGCTACGAAAAACAATTATATAAGCGGAGTGAAGATTGTTTCATTGTCAGTCATAATCGAGTCGCACCTGGAAGGTAATATACAAAACTTTCAAATTCAAAAATTTGTTATGTCTTACCTAGATTAAGAACAGATTTACCTGAAACCACTTACAATTACAATTTTTGATATTATTTCCTAGTTACCAATAAATAAAAATTTAAAATATAATTCTTACGAAAAAGAAGAACATGGTGTTTTAATTCATGAAAAAATTGCTACATGCACTTAACAAACAAAAACAAAAATAAAGAAGCAGTGCCTTAATTGAAGTTTTTCATGCTAAAAATTCAGTCCCACATTTGTTTTCATAATGTGGAGTATTTATTTAGTATTTGTCAAATCTTATATCTTTCTGCGCATAAGTTTTGTCAAAAAGCTTGCATAGTTAAGAAGCAAAGACTAATACTGACGAATATGTGGCGTTACAAAGATGACTGCAATTAAAGAAATTGTCTGGTTAAGAAAATATGTCATATTGATTTGTATCTGTTTGTCAGAACTGTATACGAATTACATTCTGCAGATCTAGGAACACAAGGTAAACTTATGCTGATCAATGAAATTCACGTGCCTATTTCAAATTACAGAAAACTTTCTTCTTCTTCTTCGACCTCCGACTCCGTGCTATGGTCACTAGAACTAACCCAATCATCCGTGTCCTGTTCATCTTGTTTGTCGTCTTCTGAAACTAAATGTAGTAATAGTTTCTTATATTAGCAATAAATTTGATTTTTACTAAATCAAAATGTCGGATTTGTAATTTCTCCCTGCTTATTTGTTTCTACCTTCATTTCCTATAAATATAAAGTCGTGTGTTATATCGTTTTTTACGTTATAGTAGCAAAAGTTGATTTGAAGAGGTTTATTGATGTATAAATTTTATTGACACGCTCACAAACTACAAGGTTGTACGGAGACATAAAATTGATTAAATCAATGGCATATTTACCCTATTGAAAAGTTTGTAATCATGCTAAATTTTCTTATTTCATATTTGTATTGTATGTTAAGATTGTTAGCGAATTACCAACTTAACACACCAATGAATTCTGTATAAAACCCTTTATTACTTATCACTTAAAAATGCGCTAAAAATCAGGTCCAGATTTTAAATGTTATCATCACTTAAAAATGAATTGGCCTGTGATGAAAATTATAATCTTGACTTCATAAACTTGTATAAACGTTTGGGATACAAAAACGTTCATTACCAATGATATTAGACTTAACATACATACAACATTGGAATTATTTCCTTACAGGTCGAGTTTTGGGTACTCTATTCATTATCAATGATACATGACTTAACGTACAACATTGGAATTATTTCCTTACAGGTCGAGTCTTCTGTATTGGGTACACTTATCATTATCAATGATATCAGACTTAACATACAAATTGGAATTATTTCCTTACAAGTCGAGTCTCCAGTATGGGTACACTATTCATTATCAATGATACAAGACTTAACATACAAATTGGAATTATTTCCTTACAAGTCGAGTCTCCAGTATGGGTACACTATTCATTATCAATGATACAAGACTTAACATACAAATTGGAATTATTTCCTTACAAGTCGAGTCTCCAGTATGGGTACACTATTCATTATCAATGATACAAGACGTAAATAACATACAACATTAGAATTAATTCCTTACAGGTCGAGTCTTTAGTATTGGGTACACTATTCATTATCAATGATATCAGACTTAACATACAACATTGGAATTATTTCCTTACAGGTCGAGTCTCCTGTATTAGGTACACTATTCATTATCAATGATACAAGACTTAACATACAAAATTGGAATTAATTCCTTACAGGTCGAGTCTCTAGTACTGGGTACACTATTCATTATCAATGATATCAGACTTAACATACAACATTAGAATTATTTCCTTACAGGTCGAGTCCCCTGTATTGGTAACACTTTTCATTATCATATTATTCTTGTACTTGACATGGTTGCAAAATTATTATTAAATTATAGTATCATCTTTTCTTTTAAAATTCAATCATGAATGGAAAACAAAATATATATTAGTATCTACATTTTAGAAATTAGTGTCAGACTTAATCAGGGGTAGTATACAGATGTAGCTATGGTAAAAGTTTGTAATGAAATGAATAATCTCAAATCATGAATACCAAATGAACATTAGAATGTATTTTCAACTCTTCCTTAGCATTATGTAACCCACCAGGCTTAATTTGCTTATGCAATGCAAAAACACAATTTGACCAGCTTATTCAAATTTTGTATATTGAAGAAAAATAAAAATTTCAGATAAACTTATGGCAAACATTGTCCCCTTCAAATAATTAATATAACTTCTGCTATATATTTTATACATTTTTACATTCCTTTCTTCCCATACATTTCATAACAAGAACCAAGAAATTGTTTTTACAACAATTATAATCATGATAATAGTGCCAATGTGTTATTCATAAAATAGTGATATATTTAGCTTTTCGATTTATGTTTTTTTAGAGGATTTCAATGCTCATCAACCTCGCTATTGATTTGGTTACTATTATTTTGACACGATCCCCACTGATGAATCTGATGTAGTCGACACGCACGTCTGGTGTACTACATTATATAAGCCGTTCCAACAATTTTGACCTTACCTCATAGTCCCATGTAAACAAATCACACGTTCGGCATACTTAATTATAAACTTTGTAATTTTGTTACGGAAAAAACCTAATTATGTAAGCAAAGGGGCGCTGTTAAGACTTTTACAAGAGACACAGAATTGGTTTGGAATTCCTAAAATTTTGTGACATAAAAGAAGCTGTAAAGGGACGTTCAAAAGTTGACGGAATACTGATAAAGCCATTGATTAAGAACGAAAAACGACGAAACGACAATCAAGTCCTCAAAAAGAGAACTGTAACATAGAAAATTAAATATTGAGCACAATTAATCCCACAAAAAATAACCTTAAAAGGGTTACAGAATACCCTCGTGAACTAGGACATGTATGTCTTGAACCAGACATATTATGTATAAATAACTCATAAAATTAAATGCGTGAGATGTCTAACAAATGAAACATGCTTCTGAAATTACTTGTTTGGTAACAAGAACCAGTCAGAATTTTCGAATGCTTACACGCGGTAAAACCTACATAATTTGTACAGTCTTTATTGACTTGTAACAGTTTTGGTTAGCTGGTTTTGCACTTTTTCATGGATTTGTACACTCCCTTACTTTTTTTTTCGAATAGATCTGATGATTATATTGCAGATGGATTTTCCTGAAACATGTGTCGGTAATTTTTATACTAAATGTTTGATTGTTCACGAGTAAGACAGCATTATACATGTATGTATCGATTGATATTGTATGAAGAATATATTTATAACAATAATTATCTAAATGTATTGATTCTTTGGTCTCTTTTTTCATTTTCCCATTAAGATGTTTTACAACCTTTTAATCTTCTTACTTGTTTTTATACCAAAAGGATAATAGAGGATTAGATTAGTTCTGTATTTTACGAAGGAATATCGTGTAACAATAGTCAATATAAAATGCAGTTGTAAAGAACACATGTCAATCCGCGATTTTCATTTACAGAGAAGACGTGTATTCAATTAAAGGCAAAAAAATAAAACAATAATGTTCAAATTGTTGAAATTGCTTTCCTAATGTGTTGAATACATCCTGTGGTTAATGTCAAATGCCAAGGATAATTGCCTCATTTAGGTGCATTGACTTGATTTATTTTCTAAAAACAAATAAAGTTTTACAAAACAATAAAAAAAAATTGAGGCAAAAAAATGTTAAATAAATGAATTTTAACATTTTAAAGTCATAATTTAGAAAATGACATGATTTTTATATTTAGTTTTTAGGGAGTATAGAAACAAAAAAATGTCAAGTTGAACAACCAATCAAGACTTGTTATGTGATTATTCAAACGGCTTTTGGCTTTAAAATGAAAATAGCAAAATGAAATTAATAGAAAATGATTGACACAAAATAAATACAAAAACGAAGATCCCCCCCCCCTCCCAGGCTTTCCTCGAAAACCCCGAACAAATAGGTAAAAATAGATCTAAGTCATTAAGAGACATCCAAGCAATCATAGACAGGTTACATTCAAATAATAATGATTTTTAACATTAAAATATGCTTTAAAAAAAATCAATCTGCATAAAGGAATATATAATAGGACAGACATACACCAAGGAAACATTCAAAACTCATAAGTCAAAGAAAACCCGACAGCGACAAGACAAAAAAAAACCCACGAAAGTCTCCGATACACTACACCCCACCGAGAACTCGGTGTAATCTCATGTGCTTCGGAAGTGTAAGTCAATACAAAGTCGGTGATACATTGGTGTAAGTCTCATTCGGTGATGTCATTATCGAGGAAAAGGTAAAGATATCATAGAAAACTCGACAATGTATTTAATCGCGATGTATTCACTCATATCATGATCTATTGTGATGATTTCTGTCTAACCGATGTGTTTCTACTATCTTAAAATCAGTTTGTATTTCAATAATTTCAGGAAACAAATTATCTAGTCATGTGTAACACTTAATTAATTTGCACAACTCAAACCCGTCTAACAGGAATCGGTTGAACAATTGATGATAACATGTAACTGTATGTAGTAAATATATAGCAATGAGTTTCATAATTAACACAGTATCAAGAAATTTATAATGCTTAATTTCGCAAGTCCTACCAACCACATAAAAAAGTTACTTATTTCCTTTCGGAGTGCTAAGCATTTCATTTTTCTAGTTAAGAGTGATATGTTGCCGTTTACTATGACAGGTAATAAACTTACTGCCATAGGTCATAAACCTTATTACATTGATAGCATAGAGTTTTCGTGATTTTGCTATTAAATTAATCTATATTTCACTTTTGAAATAAATCCGGTGTTTTTATTTCTTTGACGTCATACGACAATGTGTATTGTTAAGACTTTTACAACAAAGATTAATCTAAACAAATAGAGAACACTTTATACAAACCTCCGTCGTCTGATGAATCTAAAGTACAGGAGGATAAACTATCGTCTGTTTGTTCTCCTTTGTCGTTGTCATCAGGGTCTTTTGATATACTAGCCACTGTAAGCTGTCGATAGCCTGTTTTTGATCTTTTGGTTGTATCTACAATTTAAATATCTAACAATTCATAAATCAAAAATCATTATGTAGCTCTTGAAAATTCTTAAACTACTTCCATTGTGCATAAATGTCCACTTCCGGTTTTTAAGATGTTTGTCTTAAGAAGTTTATAAGTAACTTCAAAACGATTTTATTTTGACAGAACCTTAAACGAATAGTCAAATTGAACTTTGCAATTGATATGAGCGTCACTGATGACTAGCATCTAGCATACTAAATGACAAGCCTGGTATCTTTTATGAGTTATTGCTGTATATGTCTCATGACAGAAGAAATATCGTTAGATGATCATACTTCAAATATGTCATTCCACTGTTTGTAAATATTGTTCCCGAAATCAACATTTGATTGGTTGATCATGTTGATTGTCGATGCCCTCATGAAATATGAATTTTCTTGGGTGAGCAAATCTTCATATATTCTTCAGGCACGGAAAATGAATTTATTAAATCTAATGCTGAATTAATTCTAGAATTGCTAGCACAGATTCATTGTTTACAAAAGATCATACTACAGATAATATATTATTAGGACTTAGTCCTCTTTCATGGATTCACCTGCCTAGTATTAGAAATTACAAGTTCGAAAACTGAAATAAAAAAAAGTTTTATAAAATCGATTACCGATTTAAATGCACATTCCACATACCTGTGTACACACAACACGGAAAGCTCTAAATAGGTCAGTGCATTCAAAATCTTTGAGCATTAATGTAATATAACATAGACTTTCAAAGATTTGGCTTAAATAGATATAAGAAGATGTGGTATGAGTGCCAATGAGACAACTCTCCATCCAAGTCACAATTATAAAAGTAAACTATTATAGGTCAAAGTACGGCCTTCAACACGGAGCCTCGGCTTACACCGAACAACAAGCTATAAAGGGCACCAAAAATGACTAATGTAAAACCATTCAAAAACCGAACTTTTAAAAAATCATTATACACATCTTTTATTTGAATAATAAATAATGTTTTGATATACGCATATTTTTTTCTCTTTTTACTGGTCACATACACATTATAAATACCTAATACAATATTATTATGTATAGATTATACATGTATGTTATACACTTTTATAACGTATAATTATATACGTTTGTTCAGAAGAAGAAACAAACTACTTGCCCGTCTTAATATGAAATAAAACTCACAAATTATCCTACGGAACCACTGAAATGTTCTTTCAATTAATGTTTACGTGCACAGATCGTCTTAGCAGAGAACATTGCATGTAAAGTCCTCAATCAATACGAACCAGGCTACTCATTTATACCCTCGAAGAGATACAGAGACGTCCCCTCGGCACAGATACAGTAACGTCCCCTCAGCACAGATACAGAGACGTCCCCTCAGCACAGATACAGAGACGTCTCCATGGCATCCTCGAACAGATACAGAGACGTCCCCTCAGCACAGAATGACTGTAGTTTGCGAAACCACCACTGACGTATTTAATACAAAGTCAGGACGATAATGATAGAAATAACGCATTGTATAAAAAGATGAGCGGTGTGCATTTATTTAGACTGCCCTTGACGCCAAAAAATGTATATTGAATGGGGCCAAACATTTCAAAAGTAATCATTGCAATGCTTCTTTTAAGTGCCAACAGCATGGCATTCTCAACTAGGGTATAAATTAAGGCGACAGTATCGATGTTCCGATGTAATAAATCGACCAAGAAGAGACAAATCCTGACAACAAATCTAAAGTACTTAATAAGTAATCTGCCAATAATGAAATCATACCTTCTAAGATCTTCCATACAAATTTTGCTTATTGAAATATTCTATTACCACCTGCTACATGAACTATTTATCACTATTTATGATATTAATATGATATTGGAGTTCATGAGTTATAAGCACGAATCATTTATCTCTTGTAAGAGCTTGTTTTTCAAAAAATGTTTCTCTTAACAAGAAATAAAAGTAAACAACATTGATTTAAAGAAATTAAATCATGTTCCATTTTGTTATTGAAAACTTTTATTTTGGATTAAATTTGAAAAAAAAACACTTTTCTAAAAAATCCCCTGTCTCTAACAAAAGATGTGTTATCGGTTCAATAAAGAATGTACTGTTGCCTTAAATTTGTATCGTGAATGCAGAAAATTTTGTTAAAATATCATTATGTTTTTTATCATTGTATATATAAGTCTCATCTGTTTCAATCAATCATATGTACTTATACAAGAGTTCAGAGATAATTCATAATTTCTATTTCAATGTGGAAGTTAAAAACAGTCACATAACATGACAGTTTTTTGTATCAATTAACTTACAAAATAACATATTTCAAGAGGTGCCTACTTAATTTTACACCCACAGATCAATAAAAAAATCAAACATTGCTAATGAAACACCTACCAACAACTGTACCTTGTTCATTACTTCTTTTAAAAATGACAATTGATGAAAAAGAACATGTCAAGGGAGCTCATTCAAAGTAGCTTTCAAAGAAGCATTGTATTGTTAAGGATAATCAATTTATTCGCCTTTAAACGCGACGTGTTCTCTTATACTCTGCAACAAATACAAATGAAACCATTAAAGTAATTACCCTTTTGTACATGAAATGCATCAAATGCAGGTTTTAATGATTGGTGGTCGTGACTTTTCATTATCAAACATTCTGTTATTGGAAATACCGATAGCATTTTAAGAACAAAACTTAGTGCACAAAGAGTTTTGATAATGAGTTACGTGCGTGACATCTGTGGTAATGAGCGTATTAAAACAGCTGCTAATAACAGTACCAATCTACTCTTTGTAAGGGTTTCGTATACACTAACTCCTCGTACAGATGTGTGTGCACTGTTAGCACATGTAGCATATGTGTAAAACCATAGGAATAACTTGTCTTTTTACTTTCATAACGGGTAACATGACGGGTGTCACCTGTGGAACATGATCTGCTAATGCTTAAATTATTTATGTTGTGTTTTTAACTGTTGTTTGTCTTTTCGGTTTTTGCAATGACGTTTTCAGTTTGTCTTTGACTTATCAGTTTGAACATTCCTTTGGTATCGTTTGCCTCTATTTTACATCAGATACACCACCGCATTATCCATGCAGTGAACTATGAGATAATTCTGAATTTGGTTAATTGTCATACTCTATACGTTTCGTTTTATTCGTATTTCATACATTTTTTTTTATTAAAATCTTTTTACTGTCCAAATGACATTAACTAGAAACTATAAAGAGCACCTTGGTCTATGTGCACATTCAACAATGGACACTGTAGATGAAAATAGAATTCGTGACAGAAATCTCTGTTTTGTTGATCTTTTATTGCTGATCATTAAGTCTGTATTATTTCTCTCTATCTTCTTTGGTTTTTGTTCAAAACACAAAAGAGAGTCGAAAAATCCTCATTTAAGGGCAATCACTACTAAAAAGAGTGACAGTGTAATACCTTTATCGGCAAAATTGTCTTATGACCTGTTAGTATATCTTGCCTTGATGGTCATTTTTGTGATTTAAAGTGTCTATTTATCTATTATAATTTTTCGTCATGTAAGGCAAAACGCCAAAAAATGGTAAAATGTCATTAAAGGGCAATAATTCCAATAAGGAGTCATCTGATGATTTCCTCTATTTGTCTTAATTGTAGATCTTGTTTTGCTGTCCATGTTTGCTTATTTAAGTTTCTATCTATCTATTATTATTTTTAAGATAAAAGGCAAAAACGCAAAATAAAATGTAAAAATCATCATCAAAGGGCAATCACTCTAATTAGGAGTCGGCTGACGATTTCGACCAGTAGACTTATTTGTAGAACTTGTCGTCTTGCTGATCATTTTTGTAATTTAAAATTTCTCTCTCTATTATAGTTTTCAAGATAAAAAGCAAAAATGAAAAAAGGTAAACTTTGTCATTTAAGGGCAATAACTCCTATAAGAAGTCGTCTGACAGTTTTCATGTATATAGACAATTGGTAAAGCTCAACATTCTAATCATTTTTGATGTTGTCAGATTTACTCTATTTATAACGGTTTTCAAAATAATAGACAAAACTTGCATTTTACCCCTATGTTCTTTTTTGGCCTTGTCGGCCATCTTGGTTGGCAGGCGGGGTCATCGGACACATTTTTCAATAAGATACCTTAATGATGATTGTGGCCAAGTTTGGTTAGTTTCAGAGGAGAAGATATTTGTAAAACTTAGCAGACGACGACCACGACGGACGACGACGACGACGATGGATGACGACGACGGACGACGGTCGATGGACGACGGACGCAAAGTGATGAGAAAGGCTCACTTGGCCCTTTGGGCCAGGTGAGCTAAAAAAAGGAGACGTGGTGTAAACATCACTGAGATAGGAAGCCAATGACGTCAAAATTCTAGAAGAATTCGACTTCAGGTCATTTTCACTAAAAACATTACGTCATAGATATATTTTCGTCAAATTCAATGCGCATGACAAATTTTCCTTCGTTTTATGACCGCTAAATGTTCAAAAGATCGCAAGACATAGAATGGCATGGCATAACGCATAAAGCTACTAAAAGAGCTATGAAAACGAACGACTGAAGTCAGCATTACATCGTGTTGCGGTCACCATCACAAATTAGTAAGACCATACGAAGTGTTGGTGTCTCATCTCACTATCGACATTTTTTGCGGACTTTGATCTTTAAATACCAGTAATATTGGCTAATCTGTAATTTTACTGATTGTGTCCCTCGGTTTTTGTTTGTTTCCATGACTTGTCTCTTCCTAGTCGATTTACGAAAACTAAACAACGGTTATCTACAGTTGCCTTAATGAACTGAAACATCTGAGCATGTAAACATGACCTATATTTTTTTTCTAAAGGGGAATGGGAGGAGGTGAAAAATTAATTAAAAGTAGATAATTTGAAATAGATATTGAAGACCACACTTTGACCTATAATGGTTTACTTTTATAAATTTTGATTTGGTTGGAGAGTTGTCTCATTGGCAGTCATACCACTTCTTCTTATA